ATACCTAAATCTGCGATATGGGCTCACAATTTCCAACAGACTCATGAAGATCAAATAGACTCTACGGATAGGAATTGACGAAGCTACGACAAACCTAAGTATTATAAGTTTATTTGCTTAATAAAAAGCTGTGATCACATCCAAACCCCCTCGCGCATCAAATTCACTCGTTTACATGCATGTAGGGCAAGCAGAAAGTAGCCAACCTATTAATGAAATGACGCATCAAGATCGCAAATTGAATTATAGGAAGTAGAATTTCAGCTGGCCACCTCTTTTGATTTAGTGTTTTTTGGTAATTCTTCGTAAATAATAGCTTCTGGCTCTGTCGATATTCGCCACATGACAAATAAAAACTCAGCACGAAGTCATCAGTGTTATATTATGAAGGACTGATATTTTAATTTTCCCAAAATTATACGAGTATCCCCAATGATGCCAATAAATGTAACATAAATTTAATTCAAAAAGGTATTCTCATCCTGGCTGGGCAGCAAATTTGGCCTTTCATAGGTCCCATCAACTCTCAAATAGAGAATCGAAACCGGGCAGTTAAGGGTTTATTTTCAACGCTCCCACAGCTGCTAGAGGGTCACAGAAAGGATGCGAATTTTATGGCCAGCCTGTCCACTTTCATACCATATTTTTGTAAAGGAATTTTCGAAAAAGCAAACTAGCATTTGCTATTAAAATAAACTGCATTACTTATATTCGTATTAAGTAGGTTTTGCAATTATCAGTAGATCTTGCAGTCCGCTCTGGATGAAAATACTTTATAAGATGCAAGATTACGTGAAACTCATTGGCATCATGAGGCCTATTCCATCATTGTGGGGGACTTTAACTATCAGTCCTTCATCTCTTTATCGACCACGAATAAATATAGCTTTTAATTTACAAATAAATTTATGGAGTAAAGACAAATATTTAGTGCCTCTCCTCAATTATGATATATGCTAAACATTTTCCAGGTTGGGACAATGTATTAGGTACTGTGTATTTGATTTTTTATTGTAAATGTATACATAAGATAATAGTATTACATACAAAATTTTAAGTATACGATTATACGTTTATTTGCTTATAAATTAAATTTTACTCTTATTATAAATCACGGATAGGGTGTTTTTAACTTATTTATATATTATCCATTCCCTAATAATGGGAATATAGGATATTAATTATATATAAAATGCCTTATATATTTAACTATATTATGCATACATATCAAGGAACGACTCATAATTGTGTAAAAATTCAACTATCCGTACAGCTCATACTCAATAACTACTGGCACTTTCGAAAAATAATCATACGCATATTAGCTGTAAATTTCTTAGATAAACAATGAATATAAAAACATTGTAAAATTGACTCCTTCCTAACTTGCTCCTCGGTTCACAAACATCAACAGACGTGGAGTCTGGCAAGCCACTGGCCTCAAATTTGGTCCAGTACAGCTGGGAGATCGATGACGCGATTTCTGAGCCAGCAAGCTTGTTTGGCAGTCAATTCGCCGATGAGGTATCTGAGTCTGAAGTTGTCACTGCTACAGGCGACTCCGAAGCCGTCTCCTCTTCACTGTCACAGCTTCAACTGCTTGGACTTCGTGCAGGCACTTGGAGACGCGGTCGTTGCCTTGCCAACCTCATTCTGGCTCGCCCATCGATAGTGGGACAGCAAGGCATTAGCGAGAGGCGTACAGTTCACTCACTTTATTTCACCTCAAGAATCCGCCAGGATGCTGAGGCATCGGAACCACAGCCAGGCCTCCCAATCACCGTTAATGGCATCACTTTTGGTGCGTATTCAATCAACCCCTTTTCTCTCATCTTGCTGCATTCCTTACGACACCATGTTTGCCTTATCTCTCAATTATTCTAAGTTTATCTGCAAATCTACCTATTTTTTTAGTCCGCAGATATATTTAATACTCATTTACCTCCATTCATAACTCATTCAGTGAGTCGTTTATTCCTAAAACGATTCAGTTATTCTATATTTTTGGTTTCACCTCAGTTTCGCCACTTGATCGTGTTGTCATGGTGGCCTAGATGAAAGCACCTTGTACGAAGTCCCTCTACTATAGTATTTATGATAATTTGCAGTGTCAACTTGTGAACTCATTGCATTTACATGCTGGGAATCACAATAAATATCATAGCAGAGAAACTTTGGTTAAGATGCGTTCATTTAGGTCACCCTGATAGCACAAGCAAATTGAGGAAATGAGATCAAAACACTTATTTACTGCTAACTGAGACTTTGACAGAGGCAGATGTCACAATATCCTGGCCCTTATATCTACGAGTATATTTCTGTTAAATAGACCGAAACTACTTCTGCACCATGTAAGAGGAATAAAATAGTAATATTTCTTTACCTTTTTTTCTTCAAAACATTCACTAATGTCTAGAACATTTGGTATGTTGATTCATAGAATGGCTTACATGTTGTGCAGTTAATATGAGGGCGCAAGTATCCCGTTAAGACGATGAAGTTAGCTTAACTCCAAAGTACCGCCTGGATGAAGACGGTCTTTAGATTTGCATTTCGAATTAAAATTTAATGCACAAACTGACATCTTCCTCAATATGTGAACAATTCGATATAAATCGATTGTAAACTAGTCAAAACTGGTTAACCTTGATACTTATTAGCTATCATTTTGCCTTAAGTTCACGTATGTAGAGGTGGCGAGCAAGGCAAGTGTGAAAGTTAAACAAGATTTTAGCCCAATTTTCTTGTCCCAAGTAGCTATAGCTTAGCCAAAGAGGGACTTTCAATCTGGCCACGATTCCATATTTGCTATATCAATGCCTTAAAATGTCTTGAAGTTTGAAATCTGCGATATGAGCAAAACAAAACAGTCATTTTGGAGTAGTTCAGCAAGATCATTGACGAATATTCGCGAGAATAAAGACTCATTTATTGGGTGTCTCTTCTAATCAAGTGATTTTTCTTTATTTTATGGCATTACAGATCCCTTCGTCCGAATCAAAGTTGATGGAGTCGACACCAACAATGATACTGTCGGCCTGAAAATCGGAGGTAGCAAGACTCTCACTTGTCATTCAATTGGTACGTAAAACTTACTAATTATTCCCCCTTTGACCTGTTCAACAAGAACATAAATCAGCTCATTTTTGGTATATAGGGTGGATTTTGATATCAAGTCATAGATACTGCATAAAATTTT